GGCTTGGCTACATGTGACTTTGTTTTTTTGTTTGTTTGTTTTTGTTTTTTGTTTTGGTAATTCTGTGTTCCTTGCTCCCACTGTCACATCCCCTCTGTCTAGTTTCAGTTTTATTTGATACAGGGACATGACTATATAACAGTAAAAGAGTCCAAGTGTGCTGCATGGCTTGTATTAAAATCTACTACAGTGATGACAGCAATGGTAGCATCTACACTTGGCTGGATTTTCAAAATGTCCTATTCTGTGGCCACCCCCATTAGTTCCAAATGACCTGGTTGGTGGGAGGGTCAGCCATACATTTTAAACAAAGAATGGAATAAATTAACTATGTAGCTTGAGTAGCAGATTTGAGAATGATTGAATGAATGGATCAATTTATTTTAAAGAACGAGGGTTTATTTTGCTTCAGAGTTCCAGTCCCAGCTCATCATGATAGAGGTCTTATGGTGTCATGGAGCAGGGAGGGATCTGAGGCAGCCGTAGTCAGGAAGTATATAAGTGCTGATACTCAGTGCTCATTGCCCTGCCGGCTGTCTGAGCAGGAAGGGATCTGAGGCAGCCGTAGTCAGGAAGTATATAAGTGCTGATACTCAGTGCTCATTGCCCTGCCGGCTGTCTGAGCAGGAAGGGATCTGAGGCAGCCATAGTCAGGAAGTCCATAAGTACTGGTACTCAGTGCTCATTACCCTGCCGGCTGTCTCCTCCCTCTCTCCCTCCCTCTCTCCCTCCCTCTCTCCCTCCCTCCCTCCCTCCCTAGCCCCCCGCCCCCCAACGTCACTTCTAAATTAAATTTTTGGAGTTTAGATTGTGGATCTTTTCAAATGCCTTGAACTTTCTCGTTTGAATACATGTTAAAGAAGTTGACTGGCTAACAAACAACAAGTGAAAGGAAGAAAGAAAAATTTGAATAATCCATAAATTTAATAATCAAATCTTGAATATATCAAGAGTGAACTATACTCAGCCTTATGACAGTTTTACATGCTCTAATTATAATATTTTTTGATAGGATAATAACTTCATTTTCTGTCATACACAAATTAGCATCTGGGTTCTCTAATGATGTTTATTTTAGAGTAAGATTTATTTTGTAAAGGAATAATTTTATGGGTTTTTTTATTCCATTTTAAGCCTTTTCAGTTTTCTAGTGCATCCAATGCTAATTTTTGTTAAGTGTATTTCCATAAGAAGTGTAAGTTTTTGTCATGATTGATTACTTTGAGTTCTGTGGAAGGTAAAGCCTGTTCAGCTCTGTGCTTCGCATCACACATGCAGTGACTATTGCCAGGTAGTGATTCTGAACCAGAGACAGTTTTGCCCCAACAGGGACATTAGGCCGTTTTGGTTGTCAGTTCTTGGAGGAAGTTCAAGAGCTCCTGGTGGGGGAAGACTAGGTTGCTGCTAACCAAGCTGTGGAGCATAGTTTTCCCCCACTGTGAAGACTGTTTCCTGACATGCCAGTGGTGTTAAGAGTAAGTCAGTCTCGTGCGTGATGGTGGTGCAGTTTGTTTAATTAAAACGTATCCATTTGATTACCTGAGCGCAAGCCTTTGTTATTTTTTAACATGTATTCACATATTAAATTGATTCACGAGGGAGAATTTAGCTCTTTGGTTTATTATGCTTAAAAACAAAACTTTGGCTAATTGATTTTAGGTTATTTGTGTTTGAAAAAGTATAATATTAGTAATCAAATACTAATCAAGAAGACTCAATGTTTGCATTTTCTATATCACTTCTTTCAAGGTTGTCAGTTTCTTGGAATCAGTAACATACATTATTTTTTCCAGTATTATCACTTACAGTATATTCGGTTGTCTGGACAAATTAATTATCCTGAGGTCTAAATCAGTAATTAATTTGGACCTTTATCTATTCTACTTAATCTAATCTTTAGGGATTAAATTTGAGATGCTAACTGGAATTGGTTGAATCCAGTAGCTGGTGAAATAGCACCCCCCCCCCAACCAATTTCCTGCAACAAAGTGAATGGCTCCTTACATTCTGAGTGGAACCATGAATAAGAGCTGCATATGTGTGTCATTTCTACTACTTTAAAATGACTGTGTTTTGTTTCTGTTGACCTGGTTTAATTTGAATATGTTTTGAAAGAGAGATTTACTTGTCATTGTTATCTTGTTGGGGTGGGAGAGACAGGAAGAAGAATGAGGATGAGAAGGTTTAGAAGAGGCAATAGGGTTTTGGGGGAACAGGAAGAAAAGAGAGAGTAAGTGGAGTTAGGCGCTTTTTTTTTTTTAATTTTATTTTATGTGCATTGGTACTTTGCCTGCATGTTTGTCCATGTGTGGGTGCCAGATGCCCTGGAACTGGAGTTATGGGCAGTTGTGAGCTGCCATGGAGTACTGGGAATTGAACCCAGGCTCTCTTGAAGAGCAGCCAGTGCTCTGAACTACTTAGCCATTTCTCTAAGAGCTGATTTCTAAGAGAAGAATTGGAAATCGTTTCAGGGCTTTGTGATTGCGTAAAAGCTTTGCTGTTAATTTCTCAGCTTTTCTCCTTAAGTAGCCATGCACGGCAGGCACCCTTAGCTGGAGGATTAGTGACTGGTCCTGTGCAGAGCTCCTTACTCCAGCATGCTTATCAGAAGAGCAATAGGGGCAGTAACTGCCTTAGTGTTCAAGACCTTATCCTGCTGTGATTTGCTGAGTGGCATTTAGGACTTGGGAGTATTTGGACTTCATATCTGTGACATCCAGGATGGAAGGTGATTCTAGATAGCTTTACTTGCCAAAGAGTTTGGGATTGATACATATGATTTTTATGTGAGTTTTGAGGCTTGGTGTAAAAGGTTGGATGGAACTGTTTCTAAGCAGTGGTGGTAATCTGGCAGTCAGAAATAGCTTGTGTGTTAATGAGCAGGCTGCTGGCCTATGAAATAAAGGCACGGAAAAGTAGGTATACTTGAAGCAAAAATAAAGAGATGAAGGTATAATAACCAGAAATTGTGGAGGACTGTCAGAGCGATATTTAACACAAATCTCAAGTTTAACTGTGATAGATCTACTAAAGTTTTTTCTTTGTAAAAGACAGTATAAGTCAGAGGACTTCCTTCTTCAGATTTTTTTCCTTTTGTAGCAGCCGTCAGAGTGTGGAACATATTAGAATCATCTATAGAATTGCTTATGCATGAACACTATTCCTAGAAACCCCAAGGTAACTGAGGCTAGGCACTGGATGAGAACTACACTCTTACCCGTAGCTGTGGTTGGAATGAGTACTTTATGGCAGGGAGGGCTTTAGTAGATCTGCGTGGGCTATGGGGATTTGTGTTTCTCATTTTCTAGGTAATGATGCTGAGATGCTGGAAAACCCACCATGCTTTAAGAACCACGAAGAGCCAGTTGTTGTGGTACATGGCAGAATATGTGAAGAGGCAGGAGGATTAGGACTCATAGTTCAGGCTGGGTTAGACCTTTCCAAGGCTGCTGAGATGAAGGCTGAGTGGGTAAAAGCCCTTGCAAGACTGATGGCCTGAGTTCATTCCTGGAACCCACATGAAAAGTCAGATGGGGGAGTGCATCCATATTCACACTCCTATGTGGGAATGGCAATTGGAGGCAGGAGAGTTACCTGGAAGCCGTCTGACTGCTGAGCCATCAGAGTACCCTGCAGCTGAAATAAGAGCATAAAGCAAGAGCCGACTCTCAAAAATTGTCCCCTGGCTTCCACTCATGCTCTGTCGTACATTAGACAGACAGACAGACAGACAGACAGACAGACAGACAAGCATTTATAGAGTCAAGAGGGTTGTCCCTAAGAAGTTATTTCCATACTGCAGATCTGACTCAGTGGTAAAGCACTTGCTTGTCTAGCACATGTGAGGCCCTGGGCTTGATCCCTAGTATCACACAAATAAGTTCCAAGAAATATTTATCTACCTCTACTTGCTGCCAAGCTTGATGACCTGAGTTCCATTCCTTGAGGCCACATGGTGGAAGGGGACCTGACTTCCAAGCTCTCCTTTGACTTCCACATTCAGTCCACAGTGCCTTTCTCCCTCAAATGCATAAATAAATATAAAACAAAAACAAAAACAAAACCTGGTACATTTACAATTATTGTTAGGCTGTTGAACTATTGAAAAGAAAGTGTTGTGTTTTTTTTTTTCATTCTTCCTAAAGCCACATTCTTTGAGAATCTTCCAAATTTGAGATTCTCTGCTTAACAAAGCCTTTTTAGATATCCTAATGGAAATAGGACAAGTAATATAAATTTCTGTACAACAGTAGTTTTAAAGCATTTTCAGTTTGGAAGCTTTTCTATTTGAGATGGGAGGAATATTGTCTTTTCCTTTATACTAAATATGCTGGGGGATGCAGAACCATGCATGTACTGAGAAGCTAGAAAAAGTGAGGATGGACTGGAAAGATGTCTCAGTGGTAAGAACGTTGGCTGCTCTTACACAGGAATGGTGACTCAATTCCTGCACTAAAATTGAGGCTGACTATAACTCCAGGGCCAGGGAATTCAGTGCTGTTTCCTGGCCTCCAGACACTGGATGCACTGCATGTGATGAACAGACATAGATAAAATAAAAAATAACAAATGAAAAGAAACCAAGAGCAGAAGATACATGTTGCTTACAAGTAGCCTAATGTGAGAGGGAAGGACAACTTATCTGCCTGGGAAAGGGCAGGAGGAGGAGGAATGAGGACATCAAGGGGTAGTCTGGAGAGAGAGCTCCTGGATTTAGGAGGCAGGCTGAAGTCTGAGCTATTAAACTGCAGGACCCATTTTCTAATTTAGACCTCTGAGACTCTGGATTTATTTTCTTTTCAGGAGAAGAATTAGATAAAATGCAGGAAAACTCAGTTCTCATGAACCACCTCCCTAGTTGAGGAAGTGATAGTTTTGTGGCATTATAGATCCTGGGAAACGTCTGTAGCTGGTGTTGGCTTCTTTGCTGCTATATTTGGATAGAGAGAATGTGTACTCCTGAAATGACAGCTAACAATATGATTTCCTGTGTTTCTCAGAAATCCTCCTCAGCCTTTGATCACCGTGCTTGAGCACAGGCCTGATTGCTGGCCACTACTCCTGCAGCAGCTGACAGCTTTTTTCCAGCAATGCCCTGAAAGGTAACGTAAAAATAAAACAAATGAAGGACACAGAGTGGGGTGTGCTAATTTTAGAGCTGGATCCGTGTGTTGTTCTCTTTTTAACTGCTGTAACTATGAGGTTCTTAAGGAGAAGAAATGTTCTAGAGCTGGCTGTACGTTCTCTTTTCTTTTTAGCAGTAGCAGGACATGGTCTGCCAGCCTTCTTGGTTGTTGAACTATCAGTAGACAGTAACTACCTACCTCTGTTGAATTTTGTCTCACTCCCTGAGCAAGCCTGCTGTTTTAAATTTCCCTCTGTGTTTTGTTCCTCATCTTTGCTTGTTGCAGGGGATGAGGTGTCTCTCTTTTGTGTCCCCACAACAACTTACAGTTTGATTTGTAACATTTTTAAATTTATTCTTGCTTTTATTCTCTGCTCTCCGCTTTAAAACTTTCTGGAGGTTCCTGTCCCATCATCTTCATAATACTCAGACATTTATAGGTGCCTTAAAAAAATCTCAAAAGTTTGAGAACAAAACTCATGAATGAGTTGAAGGTTATCTTCCTATAGGAATATTCAGATTGCAGTATCTTGTAATCAGCTGCAAGAAGGTGGTCCAAAATTGTCTTCACCTTAAATGGTTTTTCACTGGTATAATATTAATAGTTACTAGATAGACCTTTCATCAAATCTGCCAGAACAAATAAAACCCCAAATGAATTTATAAGTATATTGGCTTCATGAAATTTCTTTGAGTCATTATAACATTACTTTAGATTTCTTTGTAACCTTCCCACTTCATTTGAGATACTGTGGTACCATGTAGCCTTGGATAGCTTGTACTTCACTGTGTAGACCAGGCTGGCCTTGAACTCAGTTCTCCTTGTGTCTGACTCCTGAGTGCAGGGATTAAATGTATGTGCTCTTATGCTGGCCCTGCAAAGGATAATTTCAATTATAAATTTGTACTATGGGATTGTGCTCTGCAAGATGGAATTGAAAATTCTGGTTACACTGTCAGATCTAATTTAGGAGCAGTAACTTTTAAGTTGTTTAGAAGGTAATACAGGCAGGTTGGTAATTTCATAAGAACAGGAGCAGTGCTTCTTCACACTTATGTGATGGAGACAAAATGTAGAGACAGTCTATTCTTTCCATGGTAGGAGTTATTGATTAAACTAGATAACTTAAGTCAGACTTATTGAACTGTCAATATATCTTCATGCTAGGTCTTTGGGGCAGTATTTATAGCAAGTTCTACTTTGATTTATTGGAAGCTTGTATTGTGATTTTACTTTCACTGAGAATTCTTTACATTACCAATGTTGTGGACTTTAGGTTGGGAACCTTAAGGTTATTAACCTAGCACATGAGTTTGAGAACAAGGACCCAAGGAGGACACATTACATGGCATATTCCAGGCTAACTGAATGTTGGAGGCAGAGGTGGGCACACAGCCCTATTGTTTGTTGTCTACCATGTCATCTTTAGTGGCAAGCACAAGTATGGAAGGCATCTTGCAGATGGAGGCCCATTGTTTCCCATCTTAAATATTCTCTATCACTTCATTGTTTGGGCCTTTTGTTTTATTCTCTTCCTGAGAGAGCAATGAATTGTCACAGAACTATGGGAAATCAGTATGAAATCAGAAAAAACATCCAGCAATTTTTAAATGGTACTTTATTATCAAGGAAGCACAATAATATTAATTTCACCTATATTTAAAAAGTTAATTTTTTTTATAAATAGTAAATGAAAACACTAAATAAAAATGAGAAAAGAACAAGGTTATATTTGGTTGATGCATCCTAATTTTTGATATCTGTAACTTTATGTAAACATGTTAATTGATTGCACATTTCTTAGAGGATGTGCTTGGTACACACAGTCTTGGTGATAGAGCAGTAAACAGAAGGCTATGGTCTGTGTCCTCATTTGGATTACAGTTTGGCAAGGGATGCAGATGCTGCACATGCCATGATAAAAAACAGTTGTGCTATGGGAGCACATAATGTTGATCTGACCACACACCGCCTGCCAGGAAAGGGAAAGGACCTCAGGAAGTCATTTTAAAGTGGAGAACTGGAGGGTGATAGAAATAGAAGGACCTGCAAGTGGGGGCCCAGTGGGGTAATTGAAGACCTGAAATGAGTGTAATGAGTAAATGGAGACTGAGGCTGGCAAGATAGGTAGAGGCTGAGTGTTAGGATTCAGGTTACTATTTTCTCATAGCACAGACTGTTTAAGTTGTTAATGATATGGCCAAGTCTTTATTTTACATTTGACGGTCATTTGACATGATGGCATCTTGGGATTAGCAATTATTGGAATATAATGAATCTAATTAGATAATAAAGATATGTTGATACATAATCTTAGTCCCTTGACTTGGAAGTTTCTTCTGAGAGGTTGTGGGCAATTATTTCATTCATCATTCAGTTTCTGTACACACACACACACACACACACACACACACACACACACACACACATCTATCTGTCTGTCTGTCTGCCTGTCTATCAATCATCTTTATAAGGATCTGGTAAGGATCAAATAAATTTGAACCATAAAGTAGAATTACTTGTATATTCTGCAGGTTAACAAGGTAAAAATAAAGTAACCCTACTTATCCATGGTTGGAGGCACTAAATCATTCAGTGGATGCCTCAACTTATGGAAAAAATGGAAGTATGTGTAATATAGAGATGCTGTTTACTGAAAAAAGATAGAAGTTAACAATAATCATTTACCATTAGTCTTAGTGACCTGAACATTATTTTTCTTCCTAAGTCGAGGGCTATCACTTGTTCATGAAAGGAAGGTCTTTCTGGCTTCTCACGGGTGCCATACTCACTATTTTCCTTCATTGGTGTCATTACTTAGTAAAATAAGCGTTACTTGTGCACAGACAGTATTATAATACAGTTGGCCTGACAGCAAGATGGCTGCTAAGAGATTCATGAAGGCCTGTAGCAGTTCTCAACCTTCCTAATGCTGTGACCCTTAAGTATAGTTCTTATGTTATGGGACCCCAACCATAAAATTATTTCACTGCTATTTCATAACTGTAATTTTGCTGTTATTATGTAATGTATGATCTGATATGTGACCTCTGTGAAAGGGTCATTTGATCCCCAAAGGGGTTGGGAACTGCTGTCCTAGAGGATCATGTATAGCAAGCTTAGTCTGTGTCTTGAAGGTGTAGAGTGAAATTGTTTTGTACTTTCTTATACTACTCAGCACGGGCATGACTTAAAATGTATTAATTATTTATTTCTCAAACTTTCCTTTAAGTATTTTCAGGTTGTCAACTGATGGAAATTAAAATTATGGAAAAAGAAATCATGGAATACTATAAATGTGAGCTGTCACAATAATAGGATGATTGTATGAGTTTATTTTATATATACTTTATCTACAGAATTTTACTATAGGTGCATGCTTGTGTGATACTCCTGGAGAATAGATCCTGATAGCTGTAATTCTAATAAGCATTCTCAGGTGGTTCTGATATTCACCATAGGCAGGTTTTGGAGTGTCACCACTATTCTAATGTGAGAGACATGTTTTTAGTTCTGGGAATCTGGCTTTGTGCCTGTTGGTCCCGAGTCAATCCCTTTGCTGGACAAGGGCTGTTTAGCCAAGATCTCATTAGGTCAAAGCATATTCAAAAGCTACTTGATGCTATCTGTGGCTGTTTACGATGTGCCACAAACTGTAGGTCAATACGTGCCACTCACTGCTTGATAGTGGAAGGAGAATTCCTGGAAAGGAGCTGTGTCTGCAAAGATAGGGCTGTAGTGCTGTGCAGAGGTTGGAATGTTGCAGGTCCAGAGTCTAATTACAGTTTATTGTGAGCTCTTGTCCACTTTCGTTTTGGCTCTAACCTCCAGTGACAGATAAAGACCTTTTGGAATTTATTAACTTCCCAGATTCCTGGCTTCCACCATCTCCAAAGCTAAACATTTCACCATAGCATCTGAGTTCTGTAGGAGAGATTGCCCCCTACCTCTCACCTTTCACCTTGCTAACTGCCTCTCTGATGTTTGTACCAATGATTTTAAAAATGACTTGAATTTTAACTTTCTTGGTTTTATTATTATACAAACTGTGAACACATTTCCTTGTTGGAGCTTGGAGCTTTTTATTTGGAGACCTAAGTGTGTATTTTTGGGTCACAGTCATATCATTTTGCTCCAGAGTAAATCTTGTCTTTTATTCCCTTGAGGTGAGAGCTCTTTCTTCCAATGACATTAGCATATTCAACTCAGTTGGTTGACTGACATGTTCCATGATTTGCAGGTCAGAAGCTTCATGTGTCCAAATAATGGCACCATTTCTGTGGTATCTCTACTGTGAACCATTGCAGTTACAAGAATATGCTAATCTTCGACTGTCCCTGCTCAAAGTCTTACTTCAGCCCAGAGGTGTTTATGAGGAAGCCCAGCCATCAGTTTTGGAGCAGCACATCCTTCAGCTGTGCTGTAACATGGTTCCATGCTTTCAGGTACTACGCCTCATTGTTCATCTTCCTACCTTAATGTTCCAGTAAGTGTTGATTATTGTTAGCTCACACTTGGTAGTTCTTGATCCTAGGTGATTGATTGGAGAAACTGGACACACTTGGGAGACTGTCTATAAATGCTGGCACTAAAAAAAAAAAAATCCAGATTTAATAATGTGTACAGAATTCACTGAGGTATAAATTAATACCATCCACTTGGAGATTAGTAGCAATGAAAACTCCTTTAGGAATCATTAGGGAAGAGAATCTTTGATCTCTTTGTACTGGATTACTAAGAAGTAGAAGAAAAACTGAACAGAATGAACTAAAACTCCTCTGGCAAATTGAACAGAAAGTGCTCCTGTGAGCAGATCTACCATGAGGATGCACAACTCAGCCTTCTGTGTGCTACCTTTGAGTTCCACCTATCCTGTAGGATCCACTGGCAGCCATTGCTCTTGCTGTTTGGAAAGCCACAATGTAAGAAATGAGTTAACATGCCAATTCTCATAATTCCTTGTAGATGATGGATCATGGTATAGAGAGTTATGAGTAAAATGCAAGGGAGTTGAGGGGGAGAGAGAAACTTTAGTTACTATCTTTATGGCTGCAGATTAAAAAGCACACAGTTGCCAGTGTGCTGAGATCTAGTGGAGTGGTTCATTTGTCAGGCTATCCCATTGCACGATCAAGGTCAGACCATTTGTGGGAATCTGAGCGTCATGCTGCTTGGCTGATGGAAGGAATCTGAGGATATATTTCAAAGTGATCACTTTGGGTCACAGATGACCTGTTTTAAGTCTGTATTAGCAAGGAGTGACTGGAGTGACTCTTTCCTCTGTGGCTCATAAATGTGCTTTCCTGTAATCAAGGCAGAGAAAAGTTAATTAAAATGAATTCTCCAGTGGCTTTTCTAAAGCTTTTGTTTTCCGTGGGTAATAAAGCAAATATAGGCAGAAGGTCTTCAGCTGGGGCAGTTTTCCCGACCATGCCTTTATTGCCATGTTCTGTGCAGTTTGGTAAATGTTCGCTTTCTTTGTCAGAAGCTTAGATGCTTGCAGGAGCTCACTATGGAATGGTTTTGAGACACCCTGTCTTTTTAGTGATACAGGTGAGAAGAAAAGGGAAACATCAGATTTAGTCATGTAACAAGTCTGTTTTATTAAGAGAAAAAATGAGAACGAGGAGTCCTCTAGGCACATCATCTACTTCCCACTTTCAGAGGTGTTTCTTGTATTCCTTAAGCAATGAACACCCAAGCTTATGAATACACTACTGAGAAGTAATACGGGCTTCAAGTACTTCTATCGACTTTCATTGAACAGATATATATTAGTCTCCCTTCTTCCTATAATAAGACACTAGTCCTCCTATCTGTGTCTGGTCTTGTTTGGGTCTTTCCTGTCTTTTTTCTTATTTTTCTTGCCTGTCTCCCTCCTTTCAGTTTATTGGGCATCATTAAAAACAAACAAGCAACAACAAAAAAATCACTTTCTTCCCATTAAATGACTTCCAGAATGTTCACTCTTCATCATTCTAGTATACTCATAGGTGCTCTGTATGTACAACTGAGAAATGTCCTTCTCAGAGCTGAATGTGGTGCTGTGGATATGGCCCTGTCTATCCTGGGCACTAGGAAAGGAGGACACTGAAGTTACTACTGTGTTGTGAGATGTAGACCCGCCCCCCTTCCTGGTTTGATTTAGGGTTAGAGAGTGGTCAGTGAGACACATGGTTAGCTTCCTTCTCAACCAGTTTGTTCTCCATCTTATATTTGTGCAACTGGTTTTTATTTTAAATGATTTTTGCCACATCATACATTATCCATGCTACATGATCTATTTTTGCATAGAGATAGAACATTACTTTGAATTTCTTCCTAAGAATTTTGATAATGCTAAAGACCAGAGAATTTTCTTCGCTAATCAGCTGAATTGATTTTTTTTTTAACGGAATGTTTCCTGAATGCATAGTAAATATACTCAAGGAAATAAATCACCATATAATTTAGCTATTTGTCTGTTGATATTTTATTTATAAATTATTTTTTGGTGTTTTTTCTTTCCCCTTTTGGAATGTTTCTGGTTTTCTAGGAACTCTTAATTGTGTATAATTTGTATTGATTCTCTTTTTCTAATGAGTGATAAGCAGTGGTGTATTGTGGTAAATCTCCAACCCAGATAAGACCGGTCAAAGAAAACACAACTCAATAATTATCAATATAAACTGCACGCCTAGATTGGACAGATTTACCATTATGCTACTCTGTTCTCCAGCTACGAGATCCCTTATAACTTGCGGTTTTTCCAGGCCACGTGCTTCTCCTCCGTTGTCCTTCTACCTCTTTCTCCCTGTCATCTTCCTCTAGAACATGCCACCGCTCGTGGCCTCAGACCTTGCCTGGTTGAGAACTTGGTGGCACTGTAACACAAGACAGATCGGGTGCTGCCATTTTAAAATATTACATTAACAGTGGTGGAATATGCATGCTTTTCTCTTGATGAATTTCTCACACAGAAGCATCCTGACTGGAGCAGATGGGTCACTGCTTATAACCCTGGGAAATACCATGATTGCTATGAGCAGGACCACACTAGGACTAGGCTAGTTGAGGGAGAATTTAGTTCATGGTAAGAAAAGCTGACCCTATGACCAAGTGTCTGTGTTGAACTCTTGTAGAATTCAAAACCAACTTTGAGGTAATGTCCTTCGATGTGTAGGCACTGCACATAAGTTGTGTTAAGACATCTTTTTTTTTTCAAAGAAGCCAGAAAAATAAAAAGAATTTGTTTTGGGAGCATCACTTAGTAGCAGAGCATCTGGCTGTGGAGTGTGTGTGAGACAAGAGCAGCAAAGGCAGTAAAAATTGTACTTTGGATAGTTACAAATGCAGATGGCACACGTGAGGAGCTGAACACTCAGTCATGTAACTACGTCTCCTTCACACTTCTGTTGAAAACTTTTTGTACAGCTTAAAGTTTTTCTATAATTTTAACCAGTATAACTTCCTTCAACAGATGAATGATCTGAGGCAGACAACAGAGATGATGCTGTTCATGGAGGAAGTATATCTCAGCCTTCTGCGCCATCCTGTTTTCTGGAAGAGTCAGCTTACCCAGCTGACCCTTCAGTTGCTGTGCATCTGTGAAGTCAGCTTAAAGACAACTGGGGAATGCTCATCTTTAATTCAGCTTGTAGACCGCAGTGTTGAATTTCTTGGGGAGGTAAGGACAGTGTGTTAATATACTAATTATCACTTTAGAAAGTCTCTAAGAAACTGGGTGGTTTTGTTTATGTAGTTTTTTGTGTGTCAGAGGTGATTGGATCTTATGCTATTAGAGCATACTATTACAGATATTTATTATAAAATGAATTATTAAATAATCTGTGTCACCACTTAAAAGTCTACCTCGTTTCCATCTTTAAAATTGAATATAAATGTTGAGCAAGTGTTATATTCTAGAACCTACACGTTCTGTGATCTCAGGATATAAGAATTGATGCACATAAGTACTTCTGACAGAGTGAGGTAAATGTGCTTATAGGATCTCATTTACAAGGGTCTGTGAACCAAGCATCATGACTCACACTTGCAGTCCTACCACACGGCAGCTGAGGATGAGGATTACTGTACGTTTTTTAGCCAGGCTGAGTTCTAGACTTATGTAGCCAACATAGTGATATTATAGCTCAAAAACAAAAACAGAAGCTGGGTGTAGTGCTGTACACCTTTAATCTCTGTGAGTTGGAGGCCAGCCTTTTCTACACAGTGATCCCAGGGCATCAAGAGCAACCTAGTGAGATCCTATGTAAACAAACAAACAAATAAACAAACCCCAAATCAAACAGCCATATGTATATGTTGTGTGTGTGTGTGTGTGTGTGTGTGTGTGTATACACACACACAACTACATAAATACTTATATAAACATGAATATATAAAAATACACACACACATTCACATACACACACACACACACACACACGTATATATGTACTTAATCTTTGTTATGACATTTCTTGTTGCTCATGCTAATGTTCCTGAGGTTAAACATTTTGACAAATAATTTGTGAACCTTTAGTGCCTAAGGTACATTGAGTTGAAGGAGAACAAACTAACCTTCTTGTGTATTTTGAGACTGGGTTCATCTGTTGACTATTGAGTTTAAATAATAGCATACTCTTTCCCTTCTCCTTGTTCACTTTCAGCCTTTCTGTGGGAGGAATGTCTTCATACTCTTTAGGCCTGTTTCTCTGACTGTGTGGTGTGGTAGATTTGGCTTTGCTTGAGCCATTCATCCATAGACTCAGAAGTTTGTCTCTTTTAGGCTTTTCCATTTCAAGGAAAATAGATTTACTCCTATCAAAAAATTAAGCAATAATATAATCAATTTAGAGGGTACCAGGTAATTTTTCCAGGTGTAGACCAGACTAAGCATGGTGGCTTTACACAAGTTAGGAGCTGGTAGTTTCTAAGACATGGTCACGGGGCGACTTGTGTATCCTTCCTGTTCTGTGTGAGTCAGCTCAAGAATTCCTAGGAAGAATGGTCTGTGGGCATAGCTGCTGGAATCCACACTCCAGGACAGGGCCTGCCTGACATAGCTGTGGTTCTCAGGACTCCACGAGCAGGGTTGTCTTCCCCTCTGTGTCTTCTGCAGGAGGCAAACTTCATTGCACCTGTGTTCATGTTCTTTTAAAAGGTGTTTCCATGACTAAGACTGTAACATTCTTGAGAAGAAGGCCTTTCCTGTTGACAGTTGCATATCTGGGCCAGCATATGTTTTTAGCCCCTGTCATATGGATAGTGTTCAATTATATCTTTCATTTGAATTGAGGACCAAACTGTGACTCCAGATATTTTCTGTCATTAAGAATCTTGTGGCACCTGTAGCTAGTTAAGGCATTTACTTCCCCTTCTTTCTCTAGCCAGGCTCTGTGTTAGACTCTTTCTTTATAGGCCAAGCAGAGCCTGTGTTCTCACAAAAGCATAAAAGGTGTGAGAATGGGGTTTATTTACAGATGTGATCCCAGGCTGGGAGCGGGTTGAGCTGAGAGGAACATAGCAATATGACCCTTGCTATAAGCAACCAGTTGCTCCATTCCTTAGACTCCTCTCAGAAGCCTTGTGGAATGTTTCAGAGCAAGAAGTAGGATGCAGGGCAAGGAGTAACCACTGGTCCCGATGACCCTCTTACCACTTTGTGAAGCTTTCCTCAGTGGGGCTTCAGTTTCTAGAGCTAGCAGTTTGAGGACAGAAAGCAAAGAGTTGTGTTGTGGGGCGGTGTGGTAAAATGTTCAGGTTGATTTTGTGCAGGACATGTGTGTGCTATGACAGGAGGAGTTGTAGTTAGTGGACAGGACATGAGGAATGGCAGCACAGTGGTGTGGCCGCTGGTGAGCTGCCTGTGTTCTGGTGGACGGCCACACACCCATGCACACATGCGCAGCACTATTAGGGATTTGTGGATTAAGGAGAGGAGTGAGGCGTGAAGCTGGGGACTTGATGTTTGGGAATGTGGAGACATAGAGGGGGTACACTGGGGACAGATGCGATCATATTTCATTGAATACATGTATGAAATTCTCAAAGAACAAATTAAAAAATACATTCTGGTGTCTATCAGTCAAAAAAACAAAAGCAAAAGTTTATAAAGTGACCTAAGATTTATCCCTTATAATCTTGCACCATTCACTCTATGTTTTTGATATCCCAAATCTCTAGCTCCTTTTCTGTTACCTCTGTCTGGTCTCAAACATGGCAGAAAAGTTCACTTTCATTTATAATTACTTTTTAAAAAATTTTTAATTGCTTATTTTATTTATTTACATTCCAAATGTTACCTACCCTCCCAGTACCCTCTTCTAGAGTTCTTCACCCCATTCCTCCTCCCCTTTGCCTCTGAGAGGGTGCTTTCTCCTCAACCCCTACCCCCCGCCCCCACGGGCATCCCCCTTCTCTGGGGCATCAAGTCTCTATAGGATTAGGCACATCCTTTCCTACTGAGGCCAGACAAGGCAGTCATCTGCTACATATATGCTGGGGGCTCCTGACCAACCCATGTATGCTCTTTGGTTCATGGCTTAGTCTCTGGGAGCTCCCAGCAGTCTGGGTTAGTTGACACTGTTGGTTTTCCTGTGGGGTTGCCATTGCCTTCAGTTCCTTTAAAACTTTCCCTTAACTCTTCCACAGGGGTCTGTGACCTCTGTCCAATGGTCTGTCTAATAGACAGATGCAGATTCAGTCAGTTGCTGGTAGAGCCTCTCAGAGGACAGCCATGCTAGGCGTCTGTCTGCAAGTACATGGGATCAGTGATATGTCAGGGTTTGGTAGATTTTATTACACGTGGCGTAGATTACTGACTTGTAAGCTCTAGCCATTGAGAATGTTATTGTTCTGTTTTAAAAACTAAAGATGCTTTTTTTTTTTTTTTTTAAATTTTTGCCTTTTCAATGACAGCTGGTATGGAAGAAGCATTCAGCCAAGCCATTAGTATATTATGTCATACTTTTTCTATGAACCTATTGGAGGTTTCCAAATTTGGAATGTAAATAATTTTGCTACCTTCCTGTTTTATATATGGACATATAGAAATGCAGGGAAATATGGTAGAACCTGATGTGATGATATACATTGTGAGTATATTGGTTTCAAAGCCATAAAACTCGTCCTCTGATGAGTTCGCTTTGCCCGCTTCCTTGCTTGCGACTACACTTCAAAGCAGGAAACATAGATAACTACAAAAGACACAAACGGGCACGTTTTCTTTTCAAAGTTTAATTACCCCTTTTCTTTTGATGTTTTATTTTTAAAGCTCATAACGTGGGGATTTATAAGATTTTATAGTTCAGTTTCCTTCTTGCAGCGGTAAAGGTGAGATGGAGAGGTTACTGATTTATGCCATAGGGTCTCATGGAGTATCGCCTCTGCCACTGCACTGCAATTGTTTTCTCTCATCTGTTTCTTACCGTTTGCTCCTGTCACATGTCCACCCCCTTCCTCCCCCTTGCCTGTCTTTGTCCTCATGATTTGACTCTGCAGGCTCTAATGTAAAATTTCTGAATGGACTGAAGTTGCTTTATCTTTTTTGTTCTGATCCTGTGTCATCTAGATTAAAACTTACTGTGTATGTCTTCTTCACTTTACTTACGCATTGCTGAACTTGATGATTTCATATTTCATGCTTATTTCTTTGTTACAGTTAAATATGCTCAATAAATTACGATCCCTGCCTCCTTTACATGTTTCTTTTTCATAATACAGTTTATTAAACTATGGTTCATATAATTTATTTTATAAGTTATATAGATGAATTGTGTCTAATGTTAGGTAAATAGAAAAAATTAGCTATTTTTTCCTAACGAAATGTTTCTAAATCCAGCATTTCAGGCTGTTACAGTGGCTCACACAGATTCATTCCTCTACTATTTTTGGTAGAAAGTTTTCTTCTTTAAAAAACCCAAAACAACCATCCAACCAAAGCAGGGAGGAGTGAACCAAAACACAAAGTTCTCTTTGAATTTTTTTGGTGTAACTCTGTTGCTTTTCGGCCCCTAATTTAATACATAACCTGCTCTGTGTGGTATTGCCAATTCTTCAGTGGTACAGACTGGATTAGGCTTTCTATTCAGTGCTTACAACTGTTCATTGAAATACATTTTTCTTGGATTTATGTTGTGAAGCCATGATTCCTGGATTCTCTTTAATACACTTTTTGTTCTCTTCTATTTCTAGGATTTTCCTGTAAAATTGGTCATTATTGGAACTGCTTTAATACTTCTCCAGACTCCAGCAAGTCAACAGAAGCCAGTATTAGATCTAGGTAAGTCAAACAGACTCTGCAGAGAACAGTGTAAACAGGCGCTTGCCTGGTGTTCTAGAGCAGCCGATCCTGCTCCTTCACATAGCATGCTTGCCAGGTGTTCTAGAGCAGTGAGTCTTGTTCTTCCACATAGCATGCTTCCCTGGTGTTCTAGAGCAGTGGATCCTGGTCCTCCACATAGTATGCTTTCCCGGTGTTCTAGAGCAGTGAGTTTTGTTCCTCCACATAGCATGCTTGCCCAGTGTTCTAGAGCAGTGAGTCCTGCTTCTCCACAAAGTACACTAGCTTGTTCTAGAGCAGCAGATCCTGCTCCCCGCACAGTTTGAGTTTTTGTCTGGGTTCTTCCTAATCGCTACCAAGAAGAGCTTACTTCTTTCTCTTGTGTTAGCCTGGGCTTGTCTCCATAGTTTACTATTTGCCCAGTATCTTTCATGTACGTTAATAGAATAGCACAATGCCATTTAAAAATGTATATGTGGGCCTTTTCTTTATTCATAATTATATGCCAAAATGAGAATAATATATGACCCTTGTAAGAACTTAAGTGTTTTTCAGGTTGTATTTGTTTTAAAATTCTATTTTGTGCCAGAGAGATGTCTCAGTGTGTAAAGGCACCCACTGTCATACCAAAACAGGTTGAGTTCAATCCTCAGAATGCACTTGGTGGAAGGAGAGAATTGATCCCATGAGTTCGCCTCTCTCTCTCTCTTCTTCTCTCTCTCCCTCTCTCTCTCTCTCTCTCTCTCCCTCCCTCCCTCCATCCCTCTCTCCCTGCCTCCCTCTCTCCTCCCTCTCTCTCTCTCTCACACAAACACACACCCCAGATATCTCCCCTCACATCCCTTTCACACACACTGCAGAAAACCCAGGCTTATTTAAGTGAACGAGTTGTAATTAATTATCAGTTGTTAACTTGGGTTAGAAGGTGAATGGTGATGTCCCTTTGATTGTCTAACACGGATTGAAAGGACAGAGAAGGTGCTGAGAGGGAGCACAGTGTGCTAGTTATGGAGAGTACACGAGTCTCGTTTCTACCCTGATGGGCAAGTAAGACGTAGTTTTAAAGTTTGCTGTTTTTCTTTTTGCTGTCTAACTTTGCTTCCTCCAATATCAAGTGCATGTAAATAATGGACTGAAAATTAAAGTACTTTAGATAAATTTCTGTTGTGCTTTCTCCTCTGGGACATTAATTTGGCAGCATCTTGAGAGTGAATGCTTGGAACAGGTCTTAGAACATGGAGGAGACCCAGTCTCTTAGATTGCTTTTGCCTCATGTTCATTGTCTGCTCCTCCCTGGTCTTCTTTGGATGACTTTTGTCTTTTCTCCAACAGTGCACATGGCATCTCTTGGAAGCAGTGTGCTCCAGGCTGCTAATTCTGTGGCTTTTACAAAGTTTAATTATGGTATAATTTAAATACCATGAGATTTACCATTTAATGTGTAAATATTTGCCCCCTAAATTTCTTATATCTAATGCTATTAATCATCATGTTCAGTTGCAGCCCTAGAGAAACTGTCTTTGGGAAAAAAATTATTTGGGCTGAAATTAAGAGCATTGACTGCTCTTCCAGAGGATCTTGACTTGATTCCCATCACTCACCATGGCAGCCTCACAACCAACCATCTGTAATTCTGGTCCAGAGGGTCCTGTGGCCTCTGCTGACCTTTGAGTGCATGTGGGGCACAGACATAAATACAAGCAAATACCTGTGTGTGTGTGTGTGTGTGTGTGTGTATATATATATATATATATATATATATCTCAACATAAAGATATTTCTCACTATTGTATGTGTGTGCCATCATATGCATGGAGAAGTCAGATGACAAAGCCCATTTTTCCTCTCACCTTTACTGTTTCAGGGCTGGAGTTCAGATCACCGGGTTTTGCAGGCCAGGTACTTTATCCACTGACCCACCTCACTGGCCTTAAAGTCTTTTGTCCTTGTAGATTTTTCTTTTTATATAAATGGATTGTATTTGTATAATAGACAAAAAAATTTCCAAAGCCCTAGGGAAACTACATTTTTAATTTTGACGTTGCAAACGTGTTTTGGCTCATGCACAATAGAAAAATGACACAGGACCAAGCAAATGCTTTGAGCAGCTGTTCACTCACAGACTTTTCTTTCTCTTGTAAACCAATGCCTGTTTTGAGGTTATCTTGGTTAAGGGAATAAACCACACTGAAAATTGTTGAGATGGTCTGTCATTTGAAACTGTTTAGTATATTGGGAAACCATTTAGTTTTCAAAGTAATAGATTATCAAAAGAATGTCAATTATTTCCAATTCAAAATACAAGCATTAATATAATATACTGTGTACTTAATAATACTAGCCTGGATTGTAAGTAATAGCTTATAAGAATATCTAGAAAATTTATAACAATATTGAATATGTGTGCTATGTGGTTCCTATTTTTTTGCAGAAAGGTAATATATTTTTAAATGACTTATAGACAACTATGGATTAAGCCCAATATTTTGGGAAAATATCTCATAGTAACGTGTTTGTACTTCAGCTCATGTTAAGGTTCAATTTCCAAGCAATTTAAAACAGAATACCGACAATACCACATTGCTGTAGTGAGGAAATTACTTGATTACTTTGACCATTTGACCCTGACACCTATGAGTAACATCTTTAAATCAGTATTTATTCAGCAACCTTGAAAAATATAGTAAGAACAACAAGTGTACTTGTATCCTAACCCATTCCATCCTTAGTCTCTAGGAGATCCTGTGGATGGCTAACTCACTGCACATCTGTGTATGTGCCTCTGATGTGGAGCCTGAGTTCCCATGAGAAGGAACCACTGACTGCGAGGGTTTCATGGGTGTGTAGCTTTGGGACTTCCGTGATCCACTTCTTAACCATCTAGCTGACAGGTCCTGGGCCAGCATATGTTATTAGTCTCTGTCATGCGGAGAATCTTCAATTACATGTTTCATTTGAATTGAGGACCAAACTGATTCCACCTTGGGATCTTTCACCTTGCCATTCACTTAAGCATCTACTAATGTGATTTTGGCTTATTTGTTGAAGACACATGTGTGCACCCCTCATTATTTGCTGATCAGGGACTTAAGATTGGTTGGTAGTTGGAGCTGAGACGTTGAGAAGTTATTAAGGACAAATGTTTAATTGTATTTAAAAAAATTCACAATGACCAAAACCAGAGTTGATATATATATATATAATATATATATATATAAATTTATATATGCATAATATGTGTTGTATTTACAAGTGCCCTTATTTTTCTGTTACGAATATCAACAGTTTAAAAAAAAAACCTGTGATTAGCTTTTATTTTACTGTTATTTTTTCTTACCCTTACTTATTATCCTAGTTGTGTCTGAGCTGGTTGTAAAAGTGCAAGAAAAACTCTATTTCATGGGTAAAATATTCTATTTGACTGGTGTTAATTTAAAAAAAAATTGTGAACTTTTATTTTGATGATTAGCCTTGAAGCTCCTCTCGCTTACTGAGGGTCAGAAAATCCCAAAGGCATCCCTGCTGCTCCTGGTGCCTCTTCTGCAGATACTATCTTCCACAGCCCTGGAAGACTGTCTGGCCATGGGCGAGGAAGGCCCTTCCAGGCAGCAGTTAGCCCTCAGTCTTTTGGAAGTGCTACAGAGAGAGTGTCATGGAGACGACGACAACACGGTAATGAGTACCTCTATTTCTTTTCTCCATCCATGTGCATTTTCTGTCATACCTTGATAAAATTTCTGCTCTTTTCAGATTTGTCAGGCAATAGTGTGGAGGATGTTATGCTGCTCTGGACTATGAAAGGAGGAGGTTAGGTAGTCAGTCCTCAATATGTTTTAAAATGCTGTTGGATCTTTCTTCCTTTCTGAGATTCCAGTGTATATTAGCTGCTAATATACACTGAGTAGTCTAGAGAAAAAGAAATGAAATCTGCTTATTCTAACATTTATTTATTTAATCTATGAAATCTGTTTAATCTAGTTGTATTCATTCATTCATTCATTCATTCATTCATTCATTCATCTATTTTATGCACATACAGGAGGCTTTCCACAAAGGCCAGAAGAGAGTTTCAGATCCTTTGGAGCTGGAATTTGCAGGTGGTTGGAAGGCACCTGATGTGGGTCCAGTCCCCTGCAAGAGCAGCACAGTGGTTTTGCCCTCTCTAGGGTTGTTTCTTTAGTATACTTTCATTGTCAAAGACCATTAATGTATGCCCCACATCTTGCTAGACAGGGTCTCTTCCTCAAATCCTGGAAGCTTTGGAGTTAGTATAAGATTTATATGGCATGTAATGTTGGGTTCCCTGGCCAGTGACTCTTGTTGTCTTTATGTATGACTGTGTTTTCCTGCCTCTTGTGGAAGACAAGTCTGTCACACACTTTTTTATTGCCTTGCAAGGCTGTATGACCATGGATGAAGACAGCCCGTTTGAGCAGAAGTCTTTTGGTGCTGCAGCAGGAGTGGTTGTCCTGTTCACCTACTCCATGCTCTCAGTCTCCCTTTTTTCCTTTTTTTTTTTCTAATTTTAAAGTTGTATGCTTATATGTGTGTTTGTGTGTGTATGCACATGTACATACACCACTGAACATTTGTGGAGGTCAGATGACAACTTTTAGGATTCAGTTCTTTCTCTCTATCCTATGAATGGATCCCAGAAATTGAACCCAGATTGTTAGCGTTGACAGCAAGTATCTTTCTTCACCAAGCCCCGTTGTTGGCTCTCTGGTTTTCCTTTTCTGTGACAGTAGCATTAGATGGCTGGGTCCTAGGCCACTTTGCCAGGCCTCTTTTCTTGTTACATAGTGCCTTTGGTAAGATGTGTTACTTCTCAGCTCCTCTCTTAGGGGTTGGGGATGAGGATTAAGTAAAATAAAACAAGCAACATCCAAAGTCTCTGAGGAGGAGTCGCTGCAAACACAAGCTGGAATACACTTGTTACTTCATCCGGACAAAGAGAGGTCTCTTTAGTCATGCATTGGGGCTAGGGTCTATTCATCCTTACTGCTTACCTGAGAATGTACTGGGTCAAAGTAAATGTGTATTACCGTTTCCTCAATCCAGATTGCTACAGTATAATTCTAATTCTTGAAATATATATCTGACTTAACAATAAGAGAAGGAAATTCCATCTGAGTTCTAAAAAGGCTGGCAAGAACCTAATAACTTCTTTTATACTTACCTCCTAATTCACCATGTCACATCTGATAGGGTCCTGGGTGGGGCTAGAGCTGGGGGCCATTGCTAGGTTCAGGCAGGATGTATTTTCAATTGTGTACCTTTACGTCACAAGTGTCATTTACCGAGGCTCACTGTAACTCTAATACCTAAGGACTCGGCTTACTGTTTGCTCAGGTGTGTGTATCTTATTCATCAGCGATGGTAGCTGCACTCTCTCTTTAGCAGCTGTTGTCAAGGGGGGAGGGGGAAGGGATACTATCAGTGCTATAAATATCCTTTTCATGATGCTACACTGCCTTATTGAGGCTGTGAGTGGACCTCTGTTACCTTTTAAAAAACTCAAGCCACATTTACTGTGGGATTCTCTTCCTCAGGCCAGTATGGGTTGTGGATTCCAAACACAACTATTAATTCTGCTTGCCTCACACTCACCAAGTCTATTCCCAAATCTTCACTTTCACGCATAATGCTCTTTCTTGTCCTCTGTATGAACTGCCCGTTCTTCCAAATACAGCCAAATGTTCTCAAGCCAGAATTCACTGTGCTTTGTGTTTCCAGCTTTCCTTTTATTTACCCAGTGCACAAAATACTGTGTGCTAATGTGGAAGGTTCCATGTTTGTATGTGCAACACTATGGGAAGCTCACGGAGGGAGAAAATTCTGACTTTTCACCAGGCCTTCAGGAAAGGGCAGCAATGTAAATTGTTAACATTAAATTGCCGTAGTCATTGATCATCTTGTGTTTTTCTATCCTAAGTCTTTCTGCTTTATATTTCTCAGCTGACTGTAGGAAAAGGCTTTAATTAAAAATCTCTTAGCCGGTGTCTGACTGAATGTTTTCTTTCTCTTGTACTTAAATAGCATATGAACTTATTTATCTTTTCCTCCAAAGTACCTGATCCATTGTTTAGTGCATGGTGGATATTCAGTATTTAGGAAGTTATTCATAGAAAATGTGCACTTCTCCTAAGACTAGCCCATTTTCCTATTGATTTATTGCAGAAAGCTTTCTATGAAAGGCACGGATTTGCTGTTTTTAGTGATTTCTCTTGGTGATTCTGCCTCAGTGTTTGATTATAACTAGAACTGTTCTTCAGAAGGACAATTTGTAGGTTAAATACCCTGCCATGCCGAGCTGTAATGGCGCTTCCATTTCTGAAGCCTGAGAACCATGAAATAAAACATGCTTTAATATCCTTTTATCCTCAAGATATAAAAATTGCATGATTGTAAACACGATACTCATCTCTTTAAAGTCTAATAAGTATTTTTTATAGTGTTTGAGAAAGAAGATCCTTTTTTTCTATTTGACTATTAAGTGTGATATGTTAAACCATCTATTGTAATCTCACCACAAGCCAGTAGTTGTAAATCGTAAAGTGTTAAAAATTTCTCCCAAGATAATAGAGAATAAAAGAAACATTGGTGTACATGACTTAGGGCCACTAAGGAGAGAAATTTGAGTAAGACAAACCACCACAAGCAATTGTTGACTAGTAAAAGTACTTAGTTATTTCTTAAAGAACGCTGTGAGAGTAGGAATTGTGCAGAACTGTTACTCCTCTCAGATAAAGAGGCAGTCTGTCTTCTTTGCCCTCTGTTGACAGTGACCAACACTATGCTGAAGGACAAAGAAGGAATGCTATCAGGTAATACTGTGTTATCACAGAGCCCTACAGAGGATGGACGTGGAGCTGTGGATCTCACTGAGTACCTGACAGGAAGACAGATTTGGGGGAACTTTTAGGGGTTGGGGAATGAAGTGGATTGATGAGATACAGTGAATGGAGACTTGGGGCCAAATTGCTGTGCTCATTCAGAGGACAAACTCATTTCTATAAAACTGTTGTAGTCAGTGGGAAGATTAGGATAGCTTGACTCAACTAGGGTCTACTGCAAGCTTGCGTGTGTGTGTGTGTGTGTGTGTGTGTGTGTGTGTGTGTGTATAGTATTTCTGGGCCCTGTTGATCGAACAGTACCAGATGGTCTTTATGTGGAATCGTAGGAAGCAAAGAATGTATAGGATATTTGTTCCTTTTTCTTTTATCTTTTTTGGTTTTTTGAGACAGGGTTTCTCTGTGTAGCCCTGGCTGTCCTTGAACTCACTCTGTAGACCAGGCTGGCCTTGAACTCAGAAATCCACCTGCCTCTACCTCCCAAGTGCTGGGATTAAAGGGATGCACCACCACTGTCCGGCTAGGATATTTGTTTCTTAATTTCAATAGTCATGAAATTTTCAGTGAGTTGTCATTATCTTACTTAGAGCTAAGTTAAGGCCTACTGAGCATGTGCAGTATGAGAAACTCCTGTTTCTTACAGTGACTCTAAAATAGATTCTCATCAGTGTCAGTCATTATTGCCATTCCCTCCCTCCCTCCCTCCCTCCCTCCCTCCCTCCCTCCCTC